CATTTTGCACTTTTTCCTCCATTTTCCCACTCGCCCCATCGCCGCCATTATCACAACTTACACTCACACTCAAAAACAATAATAAACAACACAAAAACACACAAAACCAAATCGTACAACGTCTCATTTTCCAATCTGATTTAGCATCGCACAAAAAACACACAAATGCAAACATAAACACATTATACACGTAAAGATTGAAATTTTACGCGAGTTAAGTAAGGTACGCAGAGCCGCGCAGCCAACGCGAGCGACTGAGGCAACGCGAGAACACTGACTGAGCAACATCCGCGTGCGCGAGCACCGCGAGAAACTTGCAGAGTCAAGATCGCACTCGCTCATATTCACTTGTGACTAGCAGAGACTCCCTACTTTACTTTGAAAAAATTTACGAAACTTTATACCTCACAATGTAGGTGTATTGTATTAATGTACGAGTAAATGTGTGGCGTCAAAATATTATTTCTGGCGCTAGCGGTGTGCTTATCACATGAATGTAGATTAATTAAACAAACTGCACCTTTAGACACAGTATACTGAGTATTCTCGGTGTGGTATAAAATAATACTGTTGCCAGGCAAAGAAAAATTCAAAATATTTAAAGTTTTAATTCATAAAAATTAATAAAAAACTTTTTTTTTAATTTTTAAGCCAAAAATATAAAAAATATTAAATTTCTCATTGTTCTAGTATTATCAAGTTATTTTTTGGAAGCTTATCAAGCGTATAATCTAGATTAAACAAACCAGTACGCGTGAATCACCTGACGCTAAGGTTTATTATCTCGAAACAAAAATGTTTCATTCCCATTCAGCTCGCCAGAACTCGATCCAAAGTGGCGCTTTGGTTTCCGCGATAAATCTCACGTTAATTCGAGCCGTCACACCCACGCGTTTATTAATAGCGTAACATCAAATGAATTCTTCACTTCGTCAACTCCATCAACATCATCACATCGTAAATAACTTCAACCGGCAGTAGTAGTGGCAACAGTAAACGTAAACCACACAAAAAAATCATGTATTGTAACCTAATCACTTCAATTTCACTCCGGCGTGTTATATTGGTTGTCTAAATTTAGGCGCTACTTTTAACCCGCACCGCAGCAGTCATTTCAGCGAATCGCCGTTCTAATTTCGCGGCGTAATTGAATTTGTGTGCCTGTTGCGCGTTGCTAAATGTTTATAATCACGAAATTTCCAATCGAATAAAATTTTACGAGCGTGTGCGTTTTCCATTTTATTGAATGCCCGGCACAAACACCACTTGAGTGCTATTTTTGTGTGATTGTGATTTCAATTAATCGAGTTCAACAAACTTTATTGCAAAACTTAAACATTTTACATTATAGTGTGTATAAAGTATTTTCTTTGCGTTCAAAGTTTCGAAGCTTTGATGCAAATTACTCCTGTGTAGTTGATACGCTGACGAAAGTTATGAAACTTTTCCTGTTAGTTGGGCGCTGCGCTTGGCGCTGTGCAGCGCTGGAGCTTAATATTTAAAGCTGCGGAAAATAAATTGCGTTCGCTTATTGTCCGCTCGGCCCCCGGAATAATTTTCCACTCTTTATGCGCTCGCCCGCGCTGGAAAACGTTCAATTACATCGCGAACGGCGCGAATAATAATAGTAAACTAGGCAACACGCCGAAGCTAACGACATGCGCAACAACAACAACAAGACTCGACTTAAGTTTCTCGACTCGCGCATCGAAAATCACACACGGCGGTGATGAAAATTGTTTTCTAATTGCCGGTTTTCAACGTCGCAAGACGCAAAATTTATCGCTGTTATTTATTATTTATTAAAATAATATATCGCAAGTAACGCCATCTATTGTCGGTGTCGTAAACTGATGAAACATAACCTCACAATAATATTATTATTATCAGTATCTGGATGGTAGTAAAGTTTAATTGGGCGCATGTTTTATTTATCTCTCGCAGCATTGTCATCGTCTTGACATGGGCTCATTGAACACGCGCCGCATGTCACCTCTCAGGAGGCGTTCTCCAGTGTGTTGATTAAGTGGCGTGTGTGTGCGCGAAAAGTGCATGAATAATGCGCGCGCGCTCTGCGAGGAACGCCGCGAAACGCGAAAACAAATAGCGTACGTAATAATTGTATTTGCATAATGAAATTGCAGTCGCGCGTTACCCCCGGCAGTTGAGCTGCAAACAGCAAATGGAATAAAGTACGCTAAACCAACAACAGCGCCACACGCGTGTGTGTGTTGTGGGTTATCTAAATGCACTCGATAAAAGTGGCGTTTTCAAACGTTTCAAGTCGAAAACTAAAACACACAAGACACGAATGATTATATTATGTAACGCGCACGCACGTCAAGCACGAAATACGCCCGTGAGCTGCAAAAAGTTTAAGAGAAAAAAAAAAACAAGTGTGCTTTGCATGTGATGTGATGTGATGTGATGCTGCGGTTGTTATGTCTTGCACTCACTTTTTTACCTTCCAGTGTTTACGCGCGAAGACATATTGGGTGGTCTCGGCACGCGGATTCGCCCGCAAATCATCGACAGCGGCGGCATTGGTGTTTTCTTTATTTTTCGCCGCGCGCACGCTCGCTCTTCGCTTCGGCGTAGTAAACGCACAGCGCACAATCGGCGCTCATTTCCCGGCTGTCGTGCGGCGATTAACAAGTCGCGATGAGCGCACTCCCGAGAACGACAAGACATCGGATGTCGTCACCAGCGGTTGTCGCTTGTTCAAAAGAACTTGAGAACCGTTTTGTCATGATTATTAACAATTTGCCTCGAGGGCACACGAAGAATAAATTGATTGAGAGAAAAAAATATAAGAAAAAATCACAAATAGAGAAATTAAATGAATAATTTCTAAACTTTTCACCACCAGATGGCGCTTGGAATTAAAAATACAATTTAAAATTGTTTTAAATTAAAATTGTGAAAATTTCGATAAAATCGGCGTCTACAAAGTTTATTACTCTATAAAATAAATATTTTCTTAATTTTTGTCCACCAGATGGCGTTAGAAGTACCAAAAAACAACTTAAAACATGTTTAAACTTAAATATTTTATTTTCCACTAATATCTACGCATGCGCAGTGTGTTTTCATCATAAAACAAACAATTTCTAAACTTTTCACCACCAGATGGCGCTAGAAATTAAAAAATTCAATTTAAAATTGTTTTAAGTTAAAATTGTGTAAATTTCTATAAAATCTGCATCTAAAGAGTTTATTACTCTATAAAATAAACATTTTCTTAACTTTTGTCCACCAGATTGCGTTATAAGTACCAAAAACAACTTAAAACATGTTTAAACTTAAATATTTTGTGTTTTACTAATATCTACGCATGCGCAGTTTATTTTCATCATAAAACAAACAATTTCTAAACTTTTCATCACCAGATGGCGCTAGGAAATAAAAAATACAATTTAAAATTGTTTTAAGTTGAAATTGTGAAAATTTCGATAAAATCTACATCTACTAAGTTTATTACTCTATAAATTGAATATTTTCTTAACTTTTGTCCACCAGATGGCGTTAGAAGTACCAAAAAACAACTTAAAACCTATTTAAACATAAATATTTTGTGTTTTATTAATATCTACGCATGCGCAGTTTATTTTCTTCATAAAACAAACAATTTCTAAACTTTTCTCCGCCAGATGGCGTTAGAAGTACCAAAAAACAATTTAAAAATCATTTTAAACGCAAATCGTTTATGATGTGATGATATCTGCGCCTGCGCAACTCGCGTGGGCGCAAAACGCGCCGAAGCAAATGATTTATTTGACTCATCCTTCACAAAGACATCACGCTGCGCCACATGCAATCAATACGTCTCTTTGTACTCATCCACATCCTCCTCCTAAGAGGAAACAACATTAAAATACTCCACACACTAGATAATTGCATCAACAACAACATAACCTAACATAACCCCTTAAATCGTCTAATTGAATATCGAAAACATTTGGAATAATAATATTTATTCGTAGCAGAACTGTAATGTGATTATATTAATTGAATGCATCTATTAACGAGATCAAACGCCGTGTGGGACTCGAAAATGAAGCATTAATTAATCCCGCTGGTGATGCGTGTAAGTGTTCAAAGTGTTTGTTCCGGCCGCTGCGGAAATTTCAAGCGCGCTGCTGCAAATTGATTTCGATCACACAACACAATTGCTAATTACGCACGACGCACGCGCTATTAATATATATATCCATATATTTGCAATTAGAAATGAAGTGTGCATATACAATGGCATGTTATCCAGCGCGAATATTTGGCAATTACGACGGTAATAATACGATTGCGTTTGATTAGGTTTGATTAGGACCGAAAGCATCGGTTAGAAACCGAAATCTAAACCAAAGCGCGATGATTTCTGGCGTGTTTACCGTTTATTTTCGCATTGCGGGATGCATATGCATTCGCATAATATGCACATTAACCAAATCAGGCATCCAGCGCTTAATTGCGTCAAATTATAACGTTTAGTTGATGGATTCATCAAGACCTACCGCATTGACCTCGCCATTTTGTTTTTTTTTTCTGTTCATTTAACGTGGGATAACGTAGGATACGAAACAGACGAAATCGATTGCCGATTGCCAATTGGAAATTGGAAATACGAAAATGGCACTGCACGCCGCGAAATAATTAAAAAGCGATTATGATTACGAAACGCCTTATATGGTTGGTGCATTGCTTCGTTTGGGTTTTTATTGTTTTATTATTAAAACATTATATTGACTGGTAGGTGGGCGCGATTAAAATTCATCGCGTTCGAGCAGAAAAAACGGCGCCGTCCCGTTCGCACGTATGAATCATATCAATTAATATGCTAATTTCATCACGCGCCACGAAATACAAGACACAAGACGTACACACGCACGCACGCAGGCAATTATGAACATTTGTACGCGGCGCCGAACCTGTTTTCTTCTCATTCAAGCGGATGGAAAATTAAGTTTATGCATGCACTATAGGCAACCAAATGTACTACTCACTCGTGCAGCCGTCGGCAGAGAAGCCATAGTGTAAATGTTGACACGCATCGCAGCGGAATCCCTCGACGCCGGGGCGGCATTCGCACATCCCGGTGGTCTGATCGCATATATTACCAACTGAACCCAGTAGATCACAATTGCAGGCGACGCATTGGGCTGTCACGTTACCGAAACCAACCTAGAATTAAAGTTATGAAGTAAATATCGGCGTTAGTTTGAGTTTTTAGTTTTTAATTTTTATGAACGTACCTCGCATTTATTACAAGTGCGACCGATGAAATGTTGGTTGCATACACAATCGCCTGTGATATTATTACAGGAATTTGACAGGGACCCTATTGGGTCACATAAACAAGCTTCGCAGCCTTCTACATGTGAACCAAAGAAGCCATCTTTGCATCTGTCACATTTCCAACCTATAAAAATACAACACAATGTACATAAATGTAATTTTAAGGTTAAATCAATAAATTACCTTCTGTATTTCCTCTACAACTCAAACACTGTCCTGTAATTCGGTCACAAGGACCACCTCCACATGAACAAGGTTCACATTTACCTCCTTTACTACTTGGTACACCAAAATATCCATCGTCACATCTAAATTTTAAAAAATTAAAAAAAAACATTAAAAACACAAGTAATTCTAAATTTAAGTTATGCAACTTACATTTCACAATGATCCCCTGTATAACCTTTGGGGCACTGTGTGCAAACATACCCAGGCTCAACATCATCATTGCTAATACTCGTCGCGTCCAATTGACAACTCGGACTGAAATTATTCTCATCATCCACCAAGGGACACGCACACTTCTTGCAATCCCCCGGCATACCCAATAACGGATTACCATAATACCCAGCTGCGCAACGTTCACATCTTTCTCCGATAGTGTTATGTTCACATTTGCATTCCCCTGTATCAGAATCGCAAGTCTCCGAATGTCCATTACAATCACACTTGATGCAATACCCTTGCATTTCATGCCGGGTGTTATTCCCTATCACCCTGACATACCCATATTGACATAGTTCACAGGATAAACCGGTATATCCAGAAGGACATGAGCATTCTTCAACTGGGCTGTATCCATCCGTGAAATTCCCGGAATATATAACAACCTCTTCTAAGGATACCTCGATTTGATCAGTATGGAACTTTGCCCTTAGTAAAATATACTTTAGGTCATAGAGGACACTCATGAATTGTATCCTGGTCACTCTTTCCCCTTTATATTCAGTTCTCCGGAGACGTGTGATGATATCATCAACATCTTCAGGGATATGGTACCATGAATCATGGTATTCATCCAAGGGGATAAGAAAAGTCATGTTGTTCATTGAGTAGGAATCATCTCCGCAAGCAATACGCATTCCATTGGATCCTACTAGGATTATGTTGGGACCTGTTGTGGGTTTACCACTTGTATCACCTCTCATGACAACCCAATGTACTTTATACAGGATATTAGATCCGTAAAGTTGTAGTTTATTTCCTGTGTAAGACAATGGTGCCAACCAATAGTAAGCTTCTATTCCGATGATCTCTTGGTTGCCTACAGTTAGCATTTGACGATCGTCTAATAACGGTGATTCTATTTCTTTGACAGAAATATCACTGACTAACCATTTTTCATTTATATTAAACGTATACTATTAAAATTAAAAAAAAAAACATAAAAATTAAAAATTATAGGTTGTAATATTTAAGGTTATGTTAAAACTTACTATTTGTGGTTGTAAATACGCCGATGAGCAAACACTAGTGACACCTGAACAGTAACACGCTGAACACCCTTCAGGATTTGCACTTTGCAATGAAAAGTAACCAATCTTACATCGGTCACAGTATTTACCCTCGACGTTATCCTTGCATTGACATTCTCCCTCACAATCATTATTACCATCTATTCTGGTACCACGTTGATTACAGGGACATTTCTCACAGTTAGGATACCCACGATAGCTCACATCGCATTGGTCACACCTGACCCCTGTGTACCCTTCACGACATTGACAGGATAACACCCCAGCATCAAAATTACACTCCCCAGTGCTGCCCATATCACAATCACATTTTAAACATGGTACATCTGAATCTGCAGTAGTACCTAGAGGACGATAGTATCCAGGAACACATTTCTCACAGTTTATTCCTGTGGTGTGTTTCGTGCAGTTGTCACAAACACCTCCACCAATGAATTCCCCCTCAGTGTTTATGCTGAGTTTTGATTGGGCGACGTCTTCATCATAATGACAGCTTGACGCATGACCGTGACATTGACAGGGGTGGCATATCTGTGCATCTCGGGATGTCCCTGCACCCCAGGGTTGTTGGTTATGTAAAGGACAACAATGGTCACAGTTGGGTCCACATGTATTATGACCACATTCACATTCTAAATGCTAATGCATTAAATTAATGTTTTTGGAAAAAAATTAAAAATTAAAAAATAGCTTACACCTGATGGTAGTTTGTGTCGACAAGTTGACGCATGCCCATTACACACGCACTGCCCACCAATGAGAATATCCCGTATGGAATAAAACAGTTTCTTGTCCCGATTGATATCCTGTGCGATTCTGGCCGGTAAAGGTTCCACTTTCCCGCGTAAACCTTGAAACCGGAAGCGGACATACCGCGCCTTTGTGAATTCCAGTAATTCAGGGCTTGTTTCATTAGCACCGGGACGGCCATGTACTAATAATGTGTATATCTAAACATAACCAATAAAAATGTGATTTAAAAAAAATTATGTTTTTTTTTCTGCGTCGCATTAAATAACTCTTCCCGAACGCAGCGTATGCAATAAATCTCTTTGCGCGGCGCGCACAAAAAGAACAAAACGGCCGACAGCTCGGGTCATCGTGATTCGACACAAAATCACATTACCGCCGCCCGCTAATGGCCTCTCCGCTTTGAGATGCGTCGATCGCAGATAGCGCACGAACCTGCATTCGCCATTAAGTAATTAACGTGTGTGTGCAACTTGCAAGAGTTATTAAATTGCATGAAACATCGATATAATCAATATGTACCAAAATTGACAGCTATTAAAATGGCTGCCAATGGTTAACTACTAGTATAGTGGATCATAAACTAACCTCTCCGTTTTCCATCGGTGCTAGTTTACTATAGTACGACGTGCAGATGACCTCCGAGTCTGTGAAGTAATGCGGTTTGCCCTTGCGCGCCGGCAGACCATATCGATCAAGGCAGTCCTTGTCGGAGGTGGCAAAAAACTGCCACGGTTCAAAGCGCTGCCCGTCGACGGAGCGCTCCAGTATCCAAGCGGCGGGACGCGGCGCGTTCGCTGCTTTCAGTTTCACGTACACCACTTGATAGACCTGGAAATAAAGTGTTTGTTACGCTTTAACGCAAAAACTACTCAACGGATCATCATGAAATTTTGTATATATATTCTCAAAGATATTGTGAAGAATATAGAATACATTTTGATCAGAAAATATAATTTTAAGGCGGTTAAATAGGGGATGAAAGTTTGAATAGTGATAAATCATAGTTATTTAGCATTTTTCACCTCCATTTCTCCATTTAATGTCCATATATCAAGTTAATAATTATTTATATTAATTTTTTCGTTAAAATCATATGTAAAATATAAAAAAATTTAAAAAAACACAATTTTTAATCATTCAACAGCGTTTTTACTTATTATTAGCCACTCAAAAGTGTTTTCTACGTTGTTTCCTATAAAAATGTCTCCTTGGAAGTAAATGTTCATAAAAATGTAATAAATTCCGCACGCCCTTGGGTGTAAATTCACAAATTAGTGCAAATTGACTGCATAAACGACATTATGCGATATTATGCGACGCTTTACGCGTCACGTCCGCCTATGCACGCTGCATTGACGCTGTTTAGGTTGTTTAGGACGTCGTCGGCGCCTCCACCACCCGCTCTCCAGCACCAAAGGGTGAGAGGTGGTGTGGCGGTGTTGATTTACATAAATCTTGCGCGATCTCTCTGCGAGCGGGCGAGCGTGATGCGGTTATGAATGCCGAGATTACCGCGCGACGTGATTCGCCAACCACTCAAACCGGGACGTTTCGGAATGTCATCACAAAATGCAAATAAACACACTCATCCTGCACCCTGAAGAAATATTAGTTTTACAGTGCAATTGTCAACTGTCAAAACATTGACATTTTTAGGTTATAAAAGGTTATGTGAGTATACACATTAAACTGTCAACCAATCCTAAACGCCGTTGTGTTTAATGTGAGAACACTGTGCTTCTCTGAATGCGAAGAAGTGTGTATAACTTATAATAAGTTATTCAACACACGCGAGCGATGGTGCTTAGCTGCGCCTCCCCGCCGTCTCGTGGCGCCCCGACCGAGAGCCGCTTATTATCGGCGCGCACATGAAGCATGATTTATTTATAACGTTTAAGTGGCTTTTAATAATGGACGCCGAGACTTTCGCTCGCATGCGACAACACCAACAGCACAAGATGATTGACGAAGGACGACGGCGACATCTATGAAGTCATCCACAAACTATTTCTTCTCTTCTACTAAATAATTACAACAGAAAACAAAGAAAAACAGTCTTCGACAACTCGTCGCCGATTTATTACATCATTGATGTACAATCGTGTCCCGAATATCGAAATCCACGATATATCTTTCATGTGTGTTATACTGGTTGTCTACTCATGTCAGAATCTATTTCATGTGCTGTCATCTGGCGGCGTAAACACAAAAAGCGTTGTGACTGCTGTGCGGCACTTGTACGCGCTGCATAAAGTCATAATTCAAGATAAAACGGTACATGCGCTGTCTTTTTTCGCTTATTCGTGCATTTTTCAGCTCGAGAGCGATATGATCTGCTCCGAATCGTCATGACACCGAGCGCACAGCGCGGAATGAGGAGCGACTTCGATTTGCGCGATGTTTTCGCACTGAGCGCGCGCGCCGCCGCGGTTATTATTCCGGTCACGTTTTTCGCATGCCCGTCTCCCGGTCTTCCCTTTTCGAGAAGAGCAGCGCTGCAGCAATTCAACAATTCAGATCATCGTTATGTTTCACTCTCGAGAGCCAGCCCAAGCGAACCGACCTCGGATGCAATAAAATTCCATTCCGAAGTTGCGATGTGAAAATCTTTCTATTTTAACTTCGAGCGCATTGCGAGTTTAGTTGAGAAACAAACCATCATTGTTTTTTCTGCTTCTAAAGTGTCATGGATGAAAATCCGCGTAATATACACCGGAATATTATTATTACGCGTGTAGGTTAAACGTAACTTAAACGTCCGCCTTTAGATTTATACAGGTTGTTTCAAAAAACAACTAAAAACACATTAAAATTAAAAATATTCAACTAGCGACACCTATCGACGATGTAGAAAGGTACTAGTTCACATAATGAAACATAGGTGGCGTTAGAAGCGTCCGCAGTTGTGTAGTACGCAATAAAATCGAAAACAATCGGTATTCCAAGAAAAGATAGACGTTACACGAGGTGTGTGCGTTCGTGCAGCACAAAGTGGACAAATAAAAGCAGACCACACACGATGCGCATCTTCTAGCTCGTCTAGCTTTAGCAGCATTCGCGCGCCGACGCACATTTATGTTAATGGCGGCCGGACATCACGAGCATTACTCCGCATTACCATTTTTTATGGAATATTAATCGCACAAGTAAGTAAATATAAAATTTACTCTAAAAGTCTTAATTTTACCTTAAATAAAAAATAATTTACAACATCCTGTATATGTATTACATATACGTATAGTAATTGCACGTACAAGCCAAAAACGGCAAACAACCGCGGTCTGTATACAAAGGAATCTTCTTTAATATGGTCAACAACGCAATGCGTATTCTCATGCAACATATCTAAGTCTATAATCGCCATCGTGTACTCCGGACAGCGTCATCTACTAACAAGCGAATGATGCATAAACAAGCCGATTCAAAATCCAACGCTCACACACACACAATCGGTCGAATCGAATTCTTCCCAGCTCGTTATTTGTTGTTGTTGCAAGCGCATCGCAGCCGATTGTCAAGCGATAACAAAAGATAAGAGACGCACAAAAAATAATAATAATAAGCGTTGGGAACCATGGAGACTTGTGCAGCGAGAAAAGCTTCGTTACGGACTTTAGTGTGACAAGTGACAGCGTGCAACACGACAGCGACACACAAAAGTTTACAGTTTCCTGCAGGTCGGTTATGCCTGGACTATTTGTTTACCATTGAATTATGACGCATAAATTATCGCATTATCGAGGCGAACGACAAGCGAGAAGTGGTTTATACACTATGATTACATAACTATATAAAGTTATATCTTTCCGTAAGCATAAAACTAAGTTTTTTATTTTTTATTTGTGTTGTGTAACAGTACAATACTTGCAGCGCCATCTACAGTTAAATTTTTAAATTATTTTTTTATTTTGTGAAAACTGTAATTTTTTAAGTTTTTTTGAAACACACTGTAGATGTTTGTGTTGTTTGTAGATTAACAACGAAGAAAACTCACTTTCTAAGCGTTTTTTACCGTCGAAGCACAAGTGCGCCGACGCCCTGCCGATAAAAGCGCTTTTAATTTGAATAACCGAAAGCTGGTCCCGCGCGCACGATGTGGTAGCGCGGCTTTTGTGATCGCGCGCGCCGTGAAAGAAAACCTCACGAGTGTTACGAGCGTCTTACGAGCGATCCTATTAAAGGGACACTCGAAATGCGACGTTAACGCTTATTTATTGCACCTTTGAGCGTGCTCGGGCTCGCACTCGACTCGATTTCCTATGTTCGACTAGGTGACTAGGATATTGCTACGCACGCCATGGACAAATGCTTCGGAATCGAACAGAGTGTAAAACGCACAACAAAAACGTTAAGTATTTGGTATTAGAGGCTTAAGTATCTGGGTATTCAATCGTTGTAGATTTTTTGTGATATAATAATTATTAAAGAATTTTTAAGGGAAAATAGATTAAAAAGAATTTAAAAAATGACAATTATTTAAATTGTGGGCAAATGGTGCTGATTTTTAATATTCTGAGAAAAGGCATTTGTAGACCTGATTGAGATCTATATATAGAAAAAAGAAACAATGTTTTATCTCAATTAGTTTCTGAGTTATAGATGATTATATATTTGATTGCAGATGTTTACTTTTTTCCTTTTAACAAGAAAACCAGAAATCTCACAAACTTCCTCTTAACCATACTTATTCTCAATTAAATTCTCTTTCAAATGACACTTCAACCAAATCCCTACCTTTTCAAACAACTGAATTATCACATAACAAACTTTCATGATTCTATTTCTATTTCTGTTTCTCATAATAAAATTCCCCAATTTAATTAAATTAATTCCCTCCAATAAATTAGCGATAGCGTTATTGCTTTCGAAAGAGCAATAAAAACGCGTGTCCCGAATAGCCGTGATGATAATAGCCGCCATCATGAATATTGTTATTGCGCACTTGGATGCGTCACAGCCCTTTGATTGGGCCTCGACGACTGCCGCGATGGCTTCGAGTGCTTTGTGTTCACACATATGCTCGTCGCTGTGTGCAATGGCCATTATTCGTGCTCAGCCGAACGCACCACAAGCGATAATATCAATTAGGAATATGGCGGCGTTATCGTAATTGTATTCTCGAGTGTCACGAGTGCTTGATGCGGCCACATAGGCAACACACAACACTTGCATACATATGAGGAGATAAGTTAGGAGTGTTTAAGTGGTATTAAAGCTGTTAATGTGTGAGAATAAAATAAAAATTAAAAAATTAACAAATTTAGACAAAAAAAATTAAAAAAAAAAACAAAAAAAATTATTTTTATGAAAAAATATTTTGTTATTTTGTTTCAAATTTCTACCGATAGATGGCGTGGTAATCCCACAGTTGTTATTTTTGACATCACAAGAAAACATTTTCTCGTCTAGATAAGTCAAAGGCGAAGCCGATCCCCGAAAAAAAACTCTCTATCGATAACGTAAGCAACATAAATTTACATATTCCATCGCAATGTGCACGTACTCACTTTATACCTACGTGCACAACGTGTTGCTTGTTTTACTACAATTTTCATAGACATATAGAATATCCCGCGACTTTTCTTTGCACTTTTCCGCTGTATTTACACTAAACAAGCAACTAAACACTTCAAAGCGTGAGAAAGTCAACACTGCACCTAAAAAACTCCGTAGTAGCGCCACCTATCAATAAAATTGCACACTAAAACTAAAATAACCTATAAATTGACGTGTAAAACAAGCCGTACATGAATAATTCATGCGTCCTAAGTCTCTCACGCTCCACATGAATATCATTGAATATCAAGTGAGCGCAATTTACTGAAAAAAACCTCACCCAAAGACAATGCACATCGTGGCCCATTACCTGCGGCCTTAAATGGCGTCCGCGCGCGCGCACGTCTATTGTTTGATATTATTACCTGCTTAAGATCCAGCGTAATCGTGACGTATTCATATTGCTCGCCGTAGTGCAGTGGTGGACTCTGCCACCAGCGGTTGTTCCCATCGTCGATGGCGTAGTTGATCGGATGGCGCTTGTGTGGATCCCGGCTGAAGTTGTCGCACACGCCACAACGCCCGCCATGTTCACCACTACCCCCACCACTTCCACCAGCAAAACCACCGATGAGTTCGGCAAAGTGGTGATTGCGTGCAGGGCCGTCCTGTAGGCGACAAAACTCTTCCCGTCCGCCTTCTCCGCATGTGGCATTCGTGGAAATCAAAGCTTTCGTTGCTAAATTCAACACGGGCGGCCATAATCCCACGTGTGAATTCATCTGACGATTGTTGACGTTCACACCGATACCTTTGAGGAATTTCATTGCTGAAAAACAAAAAAATTAAAAATTTAAAAAAATTTCCTTAAAAAAAACGAAATTTATGATGAAGTGAAATGCGGTGTAATAAAAAAGTAATTCCGGTTGTCATTGGACAATTCATGATGGCGGAGTGCAGTGTGCCCGGCGCCTCCACCACAGCGTAAAACCCTTAGCGATATTAGGGGTTGTGATATAGACGTAACCGAATTATTTATAGCTGCGGCGCGCCGTCCTCTTAAAGTATGAGTGTTTAATGCAACTTCGGATAATAATCGAAGCTTGCGGAGGTGAATTTCCAGTCTGAAACAGCGCCATTACCGACCCCGACCCCGGCTAACCCAAAACTAGCCTTTGTTCAACACTTCAACACAGAGACGTATTAAATATTAAATTATATAAATTAATAACCAAAATAAATAAATTTTTTAAATAAAAAAAATTAAATTGTGAAAATAAATCCGGTCCTGGATAAAATTTTTGTAAAGGACAATGACTAGCTGCAGGACCAACCGAAAGGAACACATAGATTCCGGACGTACTCAGATTTATCGTCTAATTAATTTCGGGGCTACAACTACCCTCCATTGAAAGTTAAAACACAGATCCGGACTTAATTTTTTTTTTTAGTTTAAAATTAAAGAAAAATATAATTAAATGAGGCGTATGACAGCCACCATCAATTACCACCTAACAATTTTGATTAATAGATAACGATTTATTGGATTTCACACTTGAGCGCACAAGCAACAAGACACGCAGCGTGGCAATCTTTAAAGCTTTTAATTAATGGCTCAATTAAGCGTTTAATACACGATGTGTGTATGTGTGTGTAGTGTAGAGTGTAGTTTAGTTTGGCTTTGAGCTTGCGACTTGTATACGCATAAATAAAGCGCCGTTATTCGCTTTTAATTTTTAAACGGTGGTTTAATCGGTTTATTGCCTGTCTTTGAACGTTTTTCAACTTCTTATAGGTATATCCGTGGATGTGTGTGTGTTTTACGATCGTGTCGTTTGGAATTTTTCACATCCGAGAGTTTCAACAAATCGTAAATATTTAAATCCCGCTCGGTTATTTACGACTGCTGTTTACAAACATATAAATTCACAAATTCGAAAATATTTTATATTTTAGTGTATAAAGTACAGTATTTTATTTGAATTTAAATTTAATGTTTTTGCATTGATTTTCTGTTTTTTTTTTTAAAAAAATTAATTTTTCTCTAAAACTTTTAAATTTCGCGCCAAAAATCGATTTTGGACATTAATTTTGAAGTTAAAAAAATTTAAATTTGATAATTACGGTCCTGTAGTCCATGATTTAAGTTCACCTTGAAAAAAATTCTCTTAATGAGTTTCTAAACTTATTGTTTACATGTCTATAAATGTAAAATTGAAATATTTGTTTGTTTTCCATTTTCCGTCATAATTCATCGAAAAAGCTGACAATTTCCATCTTAATTTTGGCCCGCACGTGTTTATGATTTTCTCCATGCTCGTTTTTCCGCCATTAAACGCGCATGTTTCGAAGTGATTTAGTGTTTTTTGATACACGCGCGCGGCTAATTCGGGACTTTTGAGGGCATTTCTTCATCTTCGCTCGACACAACAAACAATCTCGTTTAACTGTAATGGGAATGCACAGCGACGCGTAAATAGACGAGCGAAGAAAATAGAATGGCGACGAAAATAACCGCGCGATTGTTGTTACCGCCGCGCTTGTTATTTCGGCTTACCGCCTGCCAAACGACCCGCGACAAACTGACATCAAACGATCTTCAACTACGATTTTTTCCATTAAATCAAAACAAAATAGAATACTACCTTTATACACGGAAAATATAAAATGTCGTATTATATAATATTTGAATTAGCCGCGTGATCAGAAGATCAGAAACTCATTTAGAGATTATTCCTCAATTTATTTCAATTGCGAATATCTCGTAAACTAAAAAAGATAAAAAGGCCAAATCGCAGATTCTTAACTTACGGAACATTCTCTATAAGATAGGCAAGTTAAAATCGAAATCTAAGAGATGAAATTTTCACTCCTAAGAAAAAAATGGGCAAGGGGGGGTGCTTGATTCTTTTTTTCGACGATTTTCAATAGCGAATATCTTCTAAACTAAAAGAGATAGCAACCAGCGGAAAGTAGATTATGAAAGATTGGATCATTCTCTATTAGCTGGGGATTTAAAATTATTTAATTTCAAAGAGTAAAGGGTCGAAAAATGCGACTAAAAGTGCTAAAAAGTGACATTTTTCAATTTTTGACCATTTTCTTCAAATGTGAATATCTCGTAAACTAAAAGAGATAGGAAGGTCAAATCGCAGACTCTTAATCTACGAAACATTCTCTACAAGATAGGCTAGTTAAAATAGAAATCTAAGAGATGAAATTTTCACTCCTAAGAAAAAAATGGGCAAGGGGGGGTGCTTGATTCTTTTTTTCGACGATTTTCAATAGCGAATATCTTCTAAACTAAAAGAGATAGCAACCGGCGGAAAGTAGATTATGAAAGAATGAATAATTCTCTATCAGATATTAATTTTAAATTATTTAATTTTAAAGAGTAAAGGGTCGAAAAATGCGACTAAAAGTGTTAAAAAGTGACATTTTTCAATTTTTGACCATTTTCTTCAATTGTGAATATCTCGTAAACTAAAAGAGATAGAAAGGCCAAATCGTAGATTCTTGATCTACGAAACATTCTCTACAAGATAAGCTAGTTAAAATCGAAATCTGAGAGATGAAATTTTCACTCCTAAGAAAAAAATGGGCAAGGGGGGGTGCTTGATTCTTTTTTTCGACGATTTTCAATAGCGAATATCTTCTAAACTAAAAGAGATAGCAACCGGCGGAAAGTAGATTATGAAAGAATGAATAATTCTCTATCAGATATTAATTTTAAATTATTTAATTTTAAAGAGTAAAGGGTCGAAAAATGCGACTAAAAGTGTTAAAAAGTGACATTTTTCAATTTTTGACCATTTTCTTCAATTGTGAATATCTCGTAAACTAAAAGAGATAGAAAGGCCAAATCGTAGATTCTTGATCTACGAAACATTCTCTACAAGATAAGCTAGTTAAAATCGAAATCTGAGAGATGAAATTTTCACTCCTAAGAAAAAAATGGGCAAGGGGGGGTGCTTGATTCTTTTTTTCGACGATTTTCAATAGCGAATATCTTTTAAACTAAAAGAGATAGCAACCAGCGGAAAGTAGATTATGAAAGAATAAATAATTCTCTATCAGATATTAATTTAAAATTATTTAATTTCAAAGAGTAAATGGTCGAAAAATGCGACTAAAAGTGCTAAAAAGTGACATTTTTCAATTTTTGACCATTTTCTTCAATTGTGAATATCTCGTAAACTAAAAGAGATAGAAAGGCCAAATCGCAGATTCTTAATCTACAAAACATTCTCTACAAGATAGGCTAGTTAAAATCGAAATCTAAGAGATGAAATTTTCACTCCTAAGAAAAAAATGGGCAAGGGGGGGTGCTTGATTCTTTTTTTAGACGATTTTTGATAATTAATATCTTTTAAACTAAAAGAGATAGCAACGGGCGGCAAGTAGATTATGAAAGAATGAATAATTCTCTATCAGATATTAATTTTAAATTATTTAATTTCAAAGAGTAAAGGGTTGAAAAATGCGACTAAAAGTGCTAAAAAGTGACATTTTCAATTTTTGAGCATTTTCTTCAATTGTGAATATCTCCTAAACTCAAAGAGGTTGAAAGGCCAAATCGCAGATTCTTAATCTACGGAAAATTCTCTATAAGATATTTATTTCCACAATTTTCGACAGTGAATATCTTCTAAACCAAATGAGATAGCAACCAAAAAATTATAGTATATGAAAGATTTTATCATTTTTAACCAAACAATTTTACGATTCTATCAAAAATATCTGTTCCCTCCATCATTTACATTGTGAAAATTTAGTTCCTGCGAGTAATTCCCCCGAAAACCTTGCGTAAAACCCCGAAATTCCCAGCGAAAAGCCACAAAAATAAATAAACCATTTGGACTTTGGACTTTGATGATTACGGGAAAGGGTTAAGCCCTCGTCTTCCTGCTTGCGGCTGTGAAATTGTGTGTTTAGTACGTGTTGGCCGTTTGTCTTTGACCGGAACGCCGGTCGAATCCGTCGAAGTCCGCTTTGTGTCGCCGGCTTCCGACTCGCGAACAAATTCAAACAAATCCACACGTCCAACTGGCCGCCGCCGCAGCAAAGTTGCACTCGCCGGACGAGTATTTGATATTCTAATTTAACTTCTACAAAACTATCCTCACATACACTGCCACCACTTCCACATGTAATAGGATATACCTAACACCTACACCTATACCTGAAATTAATTAAAACAACTGCAACACTTTAAAAACAATAATTTTTTCCGCGCTTTGCGAATGCTGCGAGTGAGTGACTTCTCTAGGACACTCCTCAGCGAGGTATTACGATGGAATGAAGTGGACACGAGGACACTATATCAACGGAACACACTAGAAAATGAACCAAAGAGGGTGCGCAACCCTTCTGCGATTTCTCATCGCAGCTCCCAAGCACTCTCGAGGCGCGACTGCCGTGAAACTTTACCCTTTGCAATTTGCAAACGAGAAAAAATAAAATATGAAAGTATAAAGCATCGCCAGCACCAGATGGCGCTGCTTTTTTTACTTCTGCGAATAAAAACAAAGATAAATACAGTCGTTGGCTGCGGGAATGATGAATAATTTGTTTTTCGTCGTGTTGACGACAAGAAGACGTGCTCTTTACAATTTCTTCCATGGACCGTATTAAAAATATTTTACTTCGAGATTTGAGTGGTAAAATTTGCACTCAAGTACGGTTCTGTTTTCATGCGTAGTTATCATAACATTTCTTTTCGCCAAGTTCGATTGAAAGCGCAGTGACAAGCGCCGTACAAGGCGATCGTTTTTCAAGTGGCTGCGGGCCGCGGGAAAATAACCTGTTCGTTTGTTATTTCAATGCGTC